ATTTATTTATTTGAGAGAGAGAGAACATCTGAGAGGGGATAGGGTCTGAGGACGAAGCAGACTCCCTGCCGAGCAGGAAGCCCGATGCGGGACTCGATCCAGGGACTCCAGGATCATGACCTGAGCCGAAGGCAGTCGCTTAACCAACTGAGCCACCCAGGCGCCCAAAAACATGTTTATTATAGAATAGCACTGTAGCTCTGCCGAAAGAATACAGTATGCTTTGGCACTACCACACTAAGCACTCATCACATTATCCCTCATAGGAAAGCAATGGTCAGAAAAATTAGGTTTTTGGGTTTTTTTTTTTTAAGATTTTATTTATTTGACAGAGACGGAATACAAGCAGGGGGAGTGGGAGAGGGAGAAGCAGGCTTCCCACTGAGCAGGGAGCCCAATGCGGGGCTCAATCCCAGGACCCTGGGATCATGACCTGAGCCACCCAGGCGCCCCCAAAATTAGGTATTTTTAATGATCTCTAACAATCTAACATTCTCACAATTTCTTCATGAAAAATGAAAATGAAGCTGCAACCAAAGTAAGTTTCTGAGTGGCTCATTTGTTATCCAAGCAGAGAAAGACATTTATTACTTGTGAATTAATTATGTTTAATTGAAGCAGCCAAAGAAATGTGTCCAGAAAACAAACTTGTTTAAGACTCATAGTCTTTGAGTGAGAACAGTTGCTCAGAGTTGAGGACATTGGAGCAATGTTGATAGTCAATTAAAAACAATGCAGATGATTTTGAGTGATTTTCCAGGCTCTTGATGAGTAAACAGATGTTACCCATACTGTTCAGTTGTTGTTTATTCAAGAAATCCATGCCAAGTTGGACTGAAAATTTAGTCTCGGTGACTGGTCTGCATCAAACAACTACAGAAGAGGATATTTTCAAAGAAGATGAGAAAACACTAATTCAGTACAACTTGAGATAGAATCAGCTAAGATCTGTTACAACTGATAGTAAAAATACATGCAGAACATAAAAAGGCATAAACCAATTGTGATTCATCAGTAGGTACTTTGCACAAAATACTTCAATCTATCATACATTACAAAACTGGTGTTATCAATGGTGAACTTCATTTATTCTCATGGATTTAACAATCATTAGTTTTGTGAGTTTTTGTCAGAAATAGAAGCTGACTATCCTGACTTGCTCTACCAAGCCACAATTCAATGACTTAGCAGTGATACCATAAAATGTTACTGCAAGTTTCTTAGCTCGGGACCAAAATTGAAATTTTTCTGAATAAGAACAACCACCCTCAACCACTGTTATCAAATACTGAATGGCTTTAGACACTAGCTTTTAGAGCAGACTTGATCATTCTTGAGTTTAACCTAAAATTTTGTGGCAAAACAGTACTTACATAGGAAACATATTGAGGTGAAGTTGTTTCAACAACCTAATAACACTTTGAATCACAGTATAGTTGACCCTTGAACAACACAAGAGTTAGGGGCACCAACCCCTGTGCAGTTGAAAATCTGGGCGTAACTTTTGACTTCCCAAAAAACTAATAGCCTACTTTTGACTGGAAGCCTTACTGATAATGTAAATAGCTGATTAACACATATTTTGTATGTTATATACTGTATTCTTGAAATAAATCAGAAAAAATCATAAGACGGGGGTTCCTGGGTGGCTCAGTCGTTAAGTGTCTGCCTTCGGCTCAGGTCATGATCCCAGAGTCCTGGGATCGAGCCCTGCATCAGGCTCCCTGCTCCGCGGGAGGCCTGCTTCTCCCTCTCCCACTCCCCCTGCTTGTGTTCCCTCTCTCGCTGTGTCTCTCTCTGTCAAATAAATAAAATAAAATCTTTAAAAAAAAAAAATCATAAGGGGGGCCGCCTGGGTGGCTCAGTCGTTAAGTGTCTGCCTTCGGCTCAGGTCATGATCCCAGAGTCCTGGGATCGAGCCCTGCATCAGGCTCCCTGCTCCGCGGGAGGCCTGCTTCTCCCTCTCCCACTCCCCCCTTCTTGTGTTCCCTCTTTCTCTGTGTCTCTCTCTGTCAAATAAATAAAATCTTTAAAAAAAAATAAAAATAAAAGAAAGAAAATCGTAAGAGGGGCACCTAGGTCACTCAGCCAGTTAAGCGTCTGACTCTTGATTTCAGCTCAGGTCATGATCTGAGGGACAGAAGATCGAGCCCCTCGTTGGGCTCCGCATTTGGGCATGGAGCCTGCTTAATATTCTCTCTCTCCCTTTCCCTCTGCCCCTCCCCCCTTACTTACATGCATTCACTCTCTCCAAAGAAAAAGAAAAGAAAGAAAAAAATCAGAAGAAGGAGAAAATACATTCACAGTACTGTACTGTAAAAAATCTGCATATAAGTGGACCTACTAAGTCCAAACCTGTGTTTTTCAAGTGTCAGTTTTAACATCAAGCTACTTTATATACTTGTGCTGTCAAAAGTTAAAACAAAAAAATGAGGCCTTCATTCCCACACATCTCTCCAGCAGATATGTTTGTGAGCTCAAACTAAAGTTCCAGCAGCACTTTTTCAGAACTGAATGCAAGTGCAAAGGAAATTTCCATATTTCAAAATTTATTTATGCAATCAAAGTGCTTCCATCTAACTTCCAATGCAAGTGATTAGTCTGTAAAGTAATGACATGGGAAAAAGGCAAATATTGAAGAATTTAATAGAATTCTATAAATGCCTTCCCAGTAATTAATATACTCAATTAAAATCAGATGCTCATGGATTGATACCAGTATTTGACAGTGCCCATCTTTGTGAAAAGGCACCTTCAAATATGAAATCTGTGAATCTCATTACAGATCAACATTAACAGATGAATATTTGTAATGTTTTGATGATAGGAAAAATGAACTTTGAGCCCCAATTAAGGAAAATTTTATCTCCCAGAGAAGAATTCCTTTTTTCTCATTAATTAATCAATATTACTTTTTAAGTACTTAATTATTATTATATTTCAAATGTTATCAATAAAAATTTTGTAGAAAATTTTCACTCCTGTTCTGTAAGTACCTACATAATATTTTGGCCTGAAGAGCCTAAAATATTTACTATCCACCTGATTTGAAAAATTTGCTGACTCTGGAATTAGACAAGCAAACTAAGCACTAGCTAACTTGATTAATCAGGGAAAAGGAGGAAAGAATAAATACTCAAAATGTGAAATGATAAGGGAAAATAATCACGGAAACAATTTTAATAATCATACAAAATAAACTTACATAACTCAATGCAAAGAAGTTTGAAGATCTGAATGAATCAAACTACGAAAATAGAATTTACCAATATTAGGGCATCTGGGTGGCACAGTTGGTTAAGTGTCCAACACTTGGTTTCAGCTCATTGTGATTGTAGGGTCATGAGATCAAGCCCCACGTCAGGCTCTTTGCTCAGTGTGGAGTCTGCTTGAGATTCTCTCTCTGCTTCTGCCTCTCTCTCTCATAAATAAATAAATGAATACATACATATATACCAATATTGATTCTAAAAGAAATAGGTTCAACAGATCAGGTTTCATAAAAGAAGAAGTTGCCAAAAATGTAGCCTTCAAAAAACTATTTGAGCTGATACACTAATAATGAAATAGCAGAAAAAGAAATTAGGAAAACAATCCCATTTACAATTGCACCAAAAATAATAAAATACCTAGGAGTAAACTTAGGTGGTGAAAGACCTGTATTCTGAAAACTATAAGACATTG